GGGTTTAATATTTTTCCTAGAACTTTTTTTTTTTTTTTTTTTTTTTTTTTTTTTTTTTTTTTTTTTTTAAAAAAAAAAAAAAAAAAAAAAAAAAAAAAGTAGTCCTTTTTCTCCCCCATTCTGTAATTTAACTTTCTACAAATGTAATCTTAAATTCTTCAATTCTCTGAGGCATTCTGTGAGTGGAAAAGCGGGGATTTTTACAGCACCACATCTGTGCACGCACATTGTGATTAATATATGACAAATCCTTCAGGCATATTGCAATTGATGCAGCAAAGCTGAACTTACTTGAAGCACAGCAAAATTATCCATTTTTCCCACTGCTAACTAATTTACTTGTTCACAGCCAGACAGGAATAGAAGATAAAGCCCTTTTTTATTGTTCTATGGAAGTAGAAGATGCACATATGGTGGTAAAAGGGCAGGAAACAGTATTATAATAGATTATAATATTTTGGAAATAATTTGCTTTCCAGTCCAGTTCAATATTTTAAATGACTTAATATCCTTTAGAAAGTCTGACATAATGCGATGAGGAATCCTATCTATCTAGTCAACTTTTCTTTGCTGTTTTTGTCCCCATATAAGACTATTTCTATTGCTCCATAAACATTCACAACCCCACCAAATGCTAGTTCGTACTTACTGCTGAAAATCAGAAAAAGGAGCCAGAAACATGTTATGTTCAGTCTGCTACTTCATTTTGGGTTAAGAGACTACAGTTTTGACAGTAGGGCCATCTGCTGTTAACTTTCCTTCTCATCATAATACCAGTCCAGTCAAAAGCAATTAAGTGTGTTTTGCCATTATAATATGCAGATAATTATGATAAATTACAGTTTTTAAATCAGCCTCAAATTATGCATATGGTAGGTATTTTCCTTGCAGTTACTGATGTAAAAAATATTCCTGCATTTGCAAAATATTTCAGCTATTTTATTAATGATGTTAGTTCTGTAATGAGATATCTACAAGGAAATTTCTTCGGCACAGAGCCTGACAGTCATTAGAAATCTATTTATATCTCAGCAAGACATTTTGCCAAGTATATAGTCGTAACATTCTGCACTGCCATTACACAAAATACTCAGAAAATGGTCTATTTTATTGTGTCACAAAAAATCAAAAATATACACAAACAGCAATAAATAGCCAGAAGAATATTTTAGGGTTTTTTACAATATGGCATTATTCAAAAATCTAACAAAGGCTAAAACACCTGATAAAAACATCACTTTAAGAACAAGACACTAACACTGTTTTCTGTCCAGCTTCCTTTGACATTGCTCAAGTGATCCCCAGGATTAGCCAGGCATAAATAAGCCACAATTCATACTGGATAAATGTTCAGAGTCAATAATAATTCTTCCTCTCTTGTAACACTGGACTTATTTTGTGGGTATTTTTTTGTTGCAGGGTCATACTGTTATACTTTCTCTGAAGTTTAACTGAAAAATCACTACTGTTAATATTTTTAATTTTTATAATGTTTCCTCAGTATTTCTTTGCTAGTGAATGGACTACTTGAGAAATAATCAGTCCCTACAATGCGACCACATGCTTTTCACGACCACACCAGCACTGAGTGATAATCCAAGATGCTTCATACATTTAATTCTCGCCAGGAATGTACTACCCACTATGAAAGCTGGCTCATAAATCCTGAGCGCTAACAGCAACCAGCAGCACCTGAGTCATGGCTGGCCACAGAGGAACAATAAGGAAGAGAGGAAGGCAAAAAAAAAAATATGACACAATAACATGGGCAGCAGCAGAATCAAATCTCAGCTCTGTTAAACACACAGAGATGGTGTCTGTCTGGCAATGGCCTTATCACCTTCTCCTCATTATGTCCACGCAGTGTTCAAATGCAAGTCAGAGAGATAAAAGTTAGCAAGAGATAACTATCAATTCAATTGACTTCAAAAACTTGCAGTCAAAGACATGAATGGTATGAACTGATATTTAAATCTTTTCCATCAGAAAACAGCAGAGGAATATTTCTGTGAAGCCAGGATACAGAAGGAAAATCAGTGGTCAATAGATGCTCTGTTTCAATGTCAGCTAGCCGGCACTTCAGCTGTGCTTGCAATAACCATGTAGATTCAGAAACAGAACACACCAACAAAACAATAGCAGAATATCCCTATCTTCTGATTCTGAGCACTTTAAGATAGGAAAGGATAAGATCTCTAACTAAAATGAATGGAGCCCTTATTTAATTCTGCTCATAGAATAGATGTGTTTTCTCTCCATATCTCTCTGGTAGCTGAGTCACCGCCGTTAACAACTGCCAGTGCGTTACCATACTTTTTTCTCCTTGGCAGGACAGGCAAATTGCTCCCCACAGAGCAGATGCCAGTCAACACGGCAAAAGGAACTGCGCTGAGCATAATTTCTCTTCCCATAACACTAAGTTGTTTTCAAAATGTTTGGTTTCCATCAGACCACTGCTTGGGGTGAGCTGTTGCTTCTAGATCTGTTTTCTTTCGAGCATAACATTAAGTTGTACTCAATTTCCATAATCAATTAAGAAAATGCAGTGGATATTTTTATTTCAGAACTGCTACAAAATTTAACAAACCATTCAACTGAAAAAGCTCTTCTTGAAAAAGCTCTTGTTAGAAAAGCTATTGAAAACTTAATGTTTAGCTAATTTCTGTTTACAAGATTAGTTTTGCAAAGTATCACAAAAACTAAATTTTCCTTCTCAATATAGTTCTGTACCAAGGATTTCAGAAGAGGATATTTGGATTGCAAGTTTTCATGTCTAACAAAACAAGACATTGCAATTTTGAGTGGGGAAAGCTGCATGTAGCCTAAAACCAGTGCTGTATAAATACATACACATAGAAAGTTTATCCACACCTTGACTGCTGCCTCACAAGAAAGTTTCTACCCTTTGTAATAAAAAATACCATTTTCTGAATAAAAACAAGAATTGCAGCCTCTACTTGACTAATTCACTTGAATTCATGCGTGAGCCAGCCTGTCCTCTTTCCGTAATGCAAGTATCTGTTCAGAAGCATGAAGAATGACAAAAATATTCACTGAAATTTTTTGGAATCAGGAATGCTGACTTCTACCTCCTTAAAACACATATGTCAAAATGCAGAACAGCTAAACAGAAATGCAAATAAAATTCAGCAAGTAAATCCTCTTTTTAAGCAGAGGAGTTCTCAACATACTTTTACTTGAAAACAAAATCTAATTAGCACCATAGCTAGGACTAGTAATCAGTAAAAGTAAAATTTACTTAAGTAATACAACATCCTTTGAATAGAGCTGGGGAGACTATCTCAATGGGGATGTTTCAACTTTGGTACCTCCAGCTGACAGGAAAAATTTTCATTTTCAAGCACTGGGTATTCCTGTTGTGGGCCAAAAGGTCATCAAGGTGGGAAGCCCCTGCACAAGCACTTACAAGAGGGAATCCAATTTGAGGAGACCATGGCACTTGAGTAATTCCCCAGTACAGCTACAGGTGCCAGCCATACAAATCTAGGAAGAAGAAGATGAAAAAAAATATATTTAACTATTGTACTCTTAAATATTTATAATTAAGAAGTGAGAAGGTTTATTATTAAACCTGGAAAGAGACAAAGGACAACACTTGCTAAACATTATCCATCATTAATGCCTAAGTGACCAGTTTTGGCAGCTACAGCAGAATGAAGATTTGCTCCCTAGAAAGCGATGCCTTGGTGCTCTGCTTCAGCAGAAGAAAAGCCTGGATCTTTGGGAATGCATCAAGCTCATATCTGGTCTTCAGCAACTAATTTGGGAAGTGATTTTTTTTTGTAAGATGGAAAGTAGATAGGATGTTTGAGTGAAGCCCTATTTGGCACAAATCTCCTTTTAAATCTAAATAGCGAGACACAAACAAAGTGGAAAACTTGAATTCTCCGAGACTAAACTTCAAAGATAGCAGCCGTCGCCACCATTACTTGCACCAACTGTATTTTAAAACTTTCTCAGAGCGCCTATAAATCTCACTTCCATGGTATTTCAAACATTTTCCACAAAGCTTTTCCACTGCAAATTGTTAAAGATCTACTGCAAGTTGTAGTGCTTAGTAATGACTAAAAAAAACCAACAAAACCAAACCCAGATTTTTTTGATTAAAAAGATCAACTTCCCAAATTTATTCAGCATTGAGATCTTCTGTATCAAATAAGATGTGGTGCAACTCTCTACAAGCACTCAGAAGGAAGCATTTAAAAATCATCTTTAATTCTCTTCCGTAACTGCTCCTTCTCTTCTGGTCCATTATCCCGCAAGAGTGGCTTCATCTGCCTGAAAGCACCCTTCTGCCATGAGCCTGGCAGCCAAAACCCCTGTGGCACTGCAAGGGAAGTACAAAGCAGGCTGGATAAACCTCTGGCACCACCTTTCAGAAAGATACGGCATCAATCTTGTCAGAGACAACACCTAACATGGGAGAGCAATGTCCAAGCTCACAGAACAATGGTGGGGGGAAAAAAAAAATAAAAATGCTAAATTCACCTGTTTGGTGTACGTAAAACGGAGATAAACTCAACATCATTTAAATGCCACTGGACTTGTATTGTTATCATCTGTTCTCACGCTCCAGTGAAGCAGTTATCTGTGTTCCCAGGCAGGCACAAAGACCTTGAAGCCCTCAGTAATATTAACAGCACAGTAAGCACCTCACAGGCAGCAGGCTCCCCAGTTTACAGATGGGCATCAGTGATCACTAGAGTTAAAACACATAAAGCATGCTAGCTGAGTTGCACGCTTGGGCACAAGACCTGTCATTTTTGCCCTCAAAGCACTGTGTTTGCCTGAAGTGCTTTAAGATAGAGTAGGAATCACTGCATCCCCGGGAAAAATACTGTGACTGTGTTATTATCCCAAATCTACCAACTAACAGGATTTACGAAAACCTACCTAAAACCACAACTTGTTCAGTGTATCTTAGCATAGGCAACTGTGAAATTAAAGTCTCTACCTTATTCTGTTTTCAAACCTGCCCAAGTAACTGATGAAGGAACAAGATAATCACACATGAACAATTCTGAGGACTATGGAATTATTTTTCCAAGGTACAGATAGTACGTAGAATAAAAGAGTATAACTAAAAGATAAGTGGCTTTCTATGCAAGTCCTCACTTGCAGTGCACTGCTTATTTAATCACTGTCTTTGGACATTCAGGCATAGAATACAGCATCTCAAGCATCTTCAAAATACAGACTGCCTGTGAACCCTTGTTCTGAAGTAGAACATCTTCTGGAAGATGGTATCGTCAATACTTTTGGATGTCTATTATCCAATGTCAGAAAATCCTAAGTCTTTAGGCAATGCAGGAATGAGCAATAAATTGGGTGACAACGCTGTCCTTTAACTTAGATTCAACACTAGTCCTGGCTGTGGCCACTACCAGTATGTGTTAATATGCTAGCACAAGAGAAATGGAAATCCTCTGTGTTCCTTTTTGCAATTTTTATAACGTTGATTCAGATCCTTGGCAAAAGAAGCAGCAGCAGTAAAAGTAGAAATATTCACTCGGAGTATCTGAAAAGTAAAGATAAATTTCAAAACGCCTTACTCATGTTTTAAAATAAAAATCTGCTGACATCTGGTATGGATCAGCTGGTTAAATTGCTTTGATTAGTCATCCACAGCCAAGTTCTTTTTTATTTATTCATTTACTCATTTATTTCATGGTTATAAAAATGTGTGTCATAATAAATATGGAGAGTGACAACACAATGCTGATTAACAAATATGATGTTCTCAATTTCTTTAACAGATTTCAGTTTTTAAAAGGAGTTGTGTGTCTGCAAAAATGTCAGTCCTAAATTTTATCCATGCCTTTTGCTGTCACAACTTGTTTTTGCCTTTCTTTGGATATGCTAAATTTATAGGTGTTGACAAAGTATTAAGAACCACAAGAAGAAAGTGTCTGTGTAGAGCACTTCTACAAACTTGTATTATAAAGACTCACTCTCCTCTCGACAACCCTGAGCTGCAAATCACAGAAGGCTACGAGACTGTCCTGGGGAAATACAAATACAGGCATGCGTATATTCACTCTGCTCTAAGCACCTACTATAGGTCACCAACAAACAGAGCTTATCACATCTCTGGTCTGACCTAACGCAGTATATCTGCATGAACCAATTTTCCAAAAACAGCAGAAAGGACCAAAAAAACCCAAACCCCAAATAACTAGTTCTTAGATGGAGAAGACACGGATAATGAACTGAAAAAATATTAGAAACGTGCAATTATTTGGGTTGAAAGGGACTTCAGGAAGGCACAACTCACTTCCAGAAGAGCCAACTCGGATGTTAGATCAACTTGCTGAGGGTCTTACTGAGTTTTTAACATCTCCAGAGTGGAGGTACAATAAACTAACAGCCTTTTCCAATGTTGGCCACCATATCTCTATTTTATTTTTTTCCTGATCAAACTTCCCTTGCTGCAGCTTTTGGTTGTTTTCTTTTTTCCTTTTAACAACCACCTCCAAGAAGAGTCTCACTCCAACTTCTCTATAATCTCCCTTCAGGCAATGAGAAACAGCAACTAGCGGTGACCCTCAGACTTCCCCTTCAGTCTTCTATTCTCTATATGGAGCCAATCCAGCCCTCAGCTTTTTATGATTCAGCTCCCTTTTTGTCTTGGTGTTCTGCAAAGCTCCTTTCCAGCCAGGCAGTCCTCAGTATGTAGCACTGCATGGGGTTGTACCATCCTAACTGTATGAATTTGCATTTCCCTTTGCTGAAGGCAAGGTTCCTCTGAGCCCGTTTCTTCAGCCTGTTGAGAGCACTCTGAACAGCAGCCCTGCGCTCTAACAATTTGACCACTTCCCTACAAAAGAGCAACACAGGGCAAAGTTACTGAGATTACATGCCATAGATTCATACAGGTTATTAAGAAGATGATAAGCAGTACTGGCTGTAGCGCTGAGCTCTGTAGAACTACTAGGTCATCAGTAATCGGTGACCGGCTGGACTTCAGAACACTGACCCTAAGCCTTTGAACCTAGCAGTCAAGTTAGTTTTCCACATACCTGGAAGTCTGCCTAATGAGTATCTCATTAGGTTAACCCCCAAGATATTCCTGAACCCTGAAGTCCAGGGTTCTAATCTTAGTATTCACCTTCCTCGCTTCCCTCATGATCTTAAACTCCATCACCTCGTGGTTGTGTAGCTGGGGCTACCACAGACCTTCACACTCTGCACGAGGTCCTCTTTACTCATGAGCAGCAGATCCAGCAGACCACATTCTTTGATTGATAGGTCCAGCATTTGCATCAAAAAACATCCTCAACACATTCCAATCAAGATCTCCTGGATTGCTTGTGTCACACTATGTTACCCTTCCAGCAGATGTTGAAGGTCAAAGTAGCTCACAAGGAACAGTGCTTTCTATCAAGCTTCCTCCAGTTCTCTAGAATTCTCTTCATAGAATTCCTTTTCTTGATAAGGCAATCTGCAGTAGATGATCACTGAGATGCATTCATGTTGGACTCTCCTTTGATTTTGACCAGCTTGTTACTCCTTCCAAAGCAAATCTGGCTTCGCAAATTCATGCCATTTCACTCCACACATTCAATTTTGTGTGGAGCACAAGCTTTTCTTCCATCTTACCAGCCCATGCTTCCAAAAGACTCTGTACTTATCTACTGCAGCACACCATTTGTGTGAACTATCTCACACCACATTTCTGTGACCCTAAAAAGGTACTGTAATCATACAGACTTCTTAGTCCTCCTTTTTGCTTCCTATGCACTATGTGTTTCTGTATACGTACTTGAGACACATCACCAAAAAAACTGTGAAAGGCTCTCTTATAATTCTGCAATTTAAGTACTTCTCCAGCCCTCATTCCTCCAGTTCTCTTTGGCCTTTGGTTTATATTTCCTGGTAAACCAGGATTAAAGCTCTTCTCCCTAGATTATAAAAAAAACAGTTGCACATGCTAGAGAGCAACAACCCTATAATCTTAAAGCCAGGCTGCTCACTTGCCCTCCTCTTAAAGTCACAAAGCATACCTTGGGACAGTATGAATCCAGCTCACAATGATGCAATTCTTACTTGAATCTGCAAATGACCCGAAAAGACAGTTTTAAAAGATACTAGAATCCATGCATCTTATTCAAAGCTTTTCAGACAGCTGTTCAAACTTAAGATCATATGTGAAGCATTCTTCCCTGAGGATGATCCTCACATTAGAAGGACATTAAATTATTTTCATAATCTTCATTGTTGAAGAACAGATCCACAAAACCCACAGAACTACAAGGTGTACAAGATACATGGCTGCTCTTGCAATGAATTACTGAAATTACAGGAAAACAACTATAGGTGGCTTGGTTATGCAATAAGAAAAGGATGTACATTGCCCTTTCACCAAATGTTCCAACAATGCTTCTTTTTCTACTCCTTCATATCTGCACGAAGCAGAATTTTCTGGAAAAGCTGTTGTTAAAAACAAGTACAGTAACCTGCTGAGTACTGAGAATGAGCTACTT